AGGAGTATGCTGGTTGTGGGTTTCTCGTAGATGGCTTTTACTATTTTGAGGTATGTTCCCGTATGCCTAGATGTTCGAGGGTTTTCATCAAGAAGGGGTGCTGGATGTTATCAAAAGGCTTTTCTGCATCTAATGATATTATCATGTGGTATTGTTTTGATATCTTTTGATGTATTTAATTATATTTATGGTTTTACAAATGTTGAACCAGCCTTGCATCACCAGAGTGAAGCCTACTTGGTCATGATAGATGATTTTTGAGATGTGTTGTTGAATCCGGTTTGCTAGGATCTTGTTGAGAATTTTAGCATCTATGTTCATCAAAGATATTGGCCTGTATTCTCTTTCTTTGCTGGATCTTTACTTGGCTTGGGTATCAATGTGATGTTAGCTTCATAAAATGATTTGGGGAGAGTTCCATCTTTCTCAATTGGCTGAAATACCTTCAGTAGGATTGGTATCAGCTCCTCCTTAAACGTCTTGTAGAATTCTGCTGGAAAGCCATCTGGTCCAGGGCTATTTTTTGTAGGTAGTTTTCTTATTATGTAGTCAATTTCCTTGACTGCTATCAGTCTATTTAGGGTCTCAATTTTTTCTTTTTTCAACCTAGGCAGGTTGTGTGATGACAGAAAGTCCTCCATTTCCTTAAGGTTTTCAAGTTTGTTTCCATACCTGTGTACATAGTAGTCTCTAATGATCTTTTGTATTTCTTCAGGGTCTGATGTGACTTCATCTTTTGTGTTACTGATTGTGCTTATTTGGTTTGTTTCTCTCTTTTTCTTGGTCAGTCTAGCTAGGGGACCATCGATCTTGTTTATCCTTTTGAAGAATCAGTTTTTAGTTTCATTGATTCTTTGTATTGTCTTTTATTTTGGTGATCTGGATTCTTCTACTGAAATTAGGGTTTTTGTGGTCTTGGTTTTTCAGCTTCCTTAGGTGGCTTGTTAGGCTGTTAATTTGTGATCCTTCCGTTTTCTTCATGTGCATTTGTTGGGATATAAATTCCCCTCTTACTACAGCTTTCATGGCGTCCCAGAGATTTGGGCAAGATGTTTCTTCATTTTCATTTGTTTCCAGGTATCTTTAGATTTCTGTTTTGATTTCTTTTCTTTTTTTTTTTTTT